AATTGAATGTTAAATCTCTGAAAGCATTTGATTGAATTTGCAGGGGAGATCCAATCCCAAACACACTGATAGAGAAGGTTGATGAATACATCCCCAATGATTTTTTTGCAAACTTGCTTGATCTATATGAGGTTTATTCTCTCTCTCTCTCTCTCTCACTCATCACACATGTGAATGCCACACACAATGCATGCTTGTGATGGTACTTCTGCAATCATTTATTATCTATAATTAAGTATTTCTGTTTTGACTCTTCAGGATGCTGATTGCCTGACAAAGGTTAATAAACCTTGGTCCTGGATTCATTCAGATATCATGGATGACAACGTTCACATGGAACCATCTAACTTGATAGGTGATGGTTCCATAAATGGCTATGCTGTTCATAAAAAGGGATCATGGAGTCCCAGTCATATCCTCGATTTCAGTGATTTATCTATAGGTATGTGCTTTTTCTTCATTTCGTGTAACATTGTTTGTCTATTAAATAGTATCAGAAATTTCAAAGAGACCTTAGAAAAGTTATTTTAAAATCTTTATTCATCTTCTCCAGGAGACCCAATTTATGACTTGATACCTATATACTTGGATATCTTTAGAGGTGATTCCCATCTCCTTAAGCAGCTTTTAGAAAGCTATAAACTTCCTTTGGTCAGAGGCATGTTGCGTGGCAAAACAGTAGAGAGTAGCAATGAGCTTGATCGAATTTCATATCGGGCAATGTAAGTAAATTATCTTTAGATTCACTTCTTCCTGCTTCTGTAGTGATCAGATTTATAAGAGTATTTGTTCAAGTCTAGTCATTTGTGGAATAAAATGTAAGAAATATAGACTACCTGCAGTTTTTGTTGCCAAGGTGAAGTCATGCAAATTGGTCTGTTTTTGGTTCTTGATTCGGCTTTTCAGAACTATACAACTCTTTCATCAACATCAACTGCTTTCCAATTTTCCTGTGTCACTTGCAAATTTGAATCTGTATGGAATGATTTTGGAGTTATGAGTGTGGGTAGATATGGTCAATTTTTTTTAACATATGACGCCTTTTGCCCAACTACTTGTGCCAAGGGCTGCTATTGAAAGTGCTTTGAAAATGGTTTGAAAATGGTTTTTAATAAAAATATTTTAAGATAAAAGCTGAATAATGTCCGAAAAAACTTGCATGTTTAATAAATTAAGTTCTAAAATTAATAATAAAAATTGAAATAAAAAATGCACAAAAATAAAAGAACTTAATTATTGTAATTATTTAAATTATTTTATTTTTTTATAAAAAAATTACTCTTAATATTTTAAATTATCTATTTTAATTTAATTATTTTATCCAAAATAAATGTTAATTTTAAATATTATTGTCATTTCTCAGAAGTATTTATTTTGAATCCTTAATTTCACCTTTACTAGAAGTTCAAGGCAGAAGCAGATACCTTGCCAAACATGAACATACTCTTGGAATTTTGGCACATTTGATCATTTTCTTTCGTTTTGATGGTGTATATGGTCACTGAGTCTATGCTAATCGTTTTAGTATTTGTTTTGTTTGTCCAAATACGTGTTAGTGGCAGACCTTATCTAAATGAATTTCATGACTGCAGGTGTTACTGTATTTTGCATGAAGAAAATGTCTTAGGAGCTATTTTTAGTAGTTGGAAGGAACTCAGGATGGCAGCCTCATGGGAAGAAGTCGAGCAGACAGTCTGGGGAGAATTAAATAACTACAGAGGCTTCTCCTGATTATTCTCATTTTTTTCTTGTTCAGGCAGAGTGCTGATAATTCTTTCACTGGGATTAAACTAGCACCAATAATGTTAATCTTCATCATTACAGATGCTCAAAAGATGGAACCTACATATCTTGTTTGAATAATTATTTTATCCAACTAATGCTTTGTTTGGATCATGGATCATTAATGTGCGGTATGGTAATTCAACGGGTTTGTCTTGTTTGAATCACTTCCAAACTGATGGTATGGTTGGTTTGGTGGTATGTAGTGGTGGATTATTTTTCCATTTTTTCTAAATTTTTCAAACCACTGATTTGGTGGTTTTTAATGGTTGAATATTAACCTTACCATTTTACCCTCACATTTTTTTTGTTAATTCTCATGTTGCCCTTAAACCCTTTTCTTCTACCCGACACAGCATTATTCTTTCTTCACCGCAGCCTGCTTCTCCTCTTCTCATCTGCTTGTGCTTCTTTCGCTTCCATATTCTGCTTCTGCTTGTTGGGAGAGTTTCCACTAGTGTTAACTTGCTTCACCAAACACAGCATCAATCAAGGTATGTGTTTAATAATGTATGATTGTTGACTTTGCTTTTGTTGGTGAGTTGGAAAAAAAGAAGATCAATACAGGCAATATATCTGTTTAATTTACTGTTTTAAGTGGAATTAAGAGCTTCATTCCGTGACAAACCATCTTTGAATCGGATGGTTGTACCTCTCTACTTTCTTTACAAGGGCTAGGGTTCAGGTCATGTGGCTCCAGTTTAGGTTTCTTTAGTAATGTGCCGAGCTGTGTGCTCCTTGTGATGGTGTTGAAGGAAAAAAATCTTTTGTGGGATGACAACTCTTATTTACTTGTTGCTAATGCATTTTTCTTTCTGTATTTCTCCAGATATTTACTATCAATGTTGTTGTGCTCTGCCATATTTCTCTTCAGTTGTCAGTTATTGATGTGAAAATAGCTATAAGGATGCATATATAGTTTGCAAAAGATCCAGATGTTGTCTGATGGATCAATGATGGTTGCTGGGTTTCTTTTGAACTTACTCTGCCCCAAATCTAGTCATTTTCAAGTTTCTGTTCCAGATTATTTTTTTCTTCTTACCAAGTAACTGTTAGTAGAAGTTCTTTTGTTCCTTCCAAAGTTGTATTTGGTTGCTTTTGGGTTACTTTCCAAAAAGAATTGACTAAGAAATGAATAGGAAATGAACCAAACACAATGTAATATTACTTGGAGAACAACTTTACAAATCTATATATGTAGTTGCCTTACATAGTTAGCTACCACAGAGATAGAACAGATGGCTACTAATTTTCTTCGAGCCAATAATTTTAACTTTATGGTCTGGCTAGCTTCAAGGTCTGATAATTGGTCTCAAATTAGAGAACAAGAGAGACATCATAGAGGTTGGCCCATATGGATAGTTGTCACTTGGGTAGAGGGTTTTTATCAGGGAAAAGTTCATGCATATATTGTTGATCATCTTGGGTAGAGGGTTTTAACAGGGTAAATTTGGGGGCAAAACTGTTCTCTGCCGTTTAACCATGATTTATAAAAAACAAAAAGAAAAAATAACAATGAGATACTTGTCCAGTCTAGAAAAAGTGATAACTCAAGTTGCTTGATGCATATGAGTAAGGGAAAATCAACAAATGGTCAGAGAAATATGAATCAATGAATTCCCCGCCTAGTCATTTATGGATTCCCTTATTGGTCGTAGTTATAAACTGTCCTTTTGCAAAGCAGAGAAAATGAAACATAAAAAATCCCTCCTAAGTTATGTAATTAGTACTAGCCATTGGAACCATTCTCTATTTTGTGCTAAATATGCAAGAGCCCTAAATTTCCAAAATGCAGTTTGAAAGCCCTAAAAGCTAGTTTAATAGATTACTTCTTCAGTTCGGTTTCAACAGCCTGTGTTCCATATTATACAAGTACGATACAGAGGTCCAGTTGCTTCTATAACCCCAATAAAGTAAAGAGGAAGAAAACCACCAATAGAAAATGAAACTTTTCAAAAATGCAAAAATAATATTTTGCTGCTAAAACCAGCTTGTGATGTAGATTATAGACAAACTAAGCAGTTGTTAGACAGATGGAATTTGAGAAAGATCTTGAAAAAGATTCAAAATGCTTTTATTCTTCAAAAATGAAAGAGAAGAAAATAAATAATATTACATTTTAAAAAAAAAAAAAAAAAATACCAAAATAGATCAAAAAGTGGAAGTATTTGTACACTGGTTGCCTAGCAGAAATGGACCAGAAAATTGCATAGCTCCACTGGATGCTCCTCACAGCAAGTGCAAGCTGTTTCCTCCGGTTCTCTGGCATTTTCTCTTGGTTTAAAACCCCTGTACCTATTTTCACCTACTGCGTCTCAAGCTAAAAAACCAGTAAAGAAACCACCAAATCAGATCAGACAAAAGGATTCTTGCTCCAATCCTTGATTAGTCATTCCTCAAAACCGGAAACAAATCCACTTATATTTTCTTGTAGAATATTCCCGAAATGTAGAAAAAGAGCTTTTGTTTAGCTAACCCCAAAGCAACTAACCTAGTTGGCTACTGTATCAAACCCTTCTTGCTAATGGTTCTTCCTCCAACAAAAACAAACTACATCACAAAACAAACAGTCTTGCTAGCTAGACCACAAACTTATTATTTTGTACAGGCTGGGAAGTATGTACCTAACAAGTTTTAATCTGCATCCAATTAACATAAAACATTTTAGGCTCCATTTGCATAAATTTAGTGCTGAGTAATTAATATATGATAATGACAGTAATTTGATGATAATAATTTTTACTGTTTAGTTTATATTGGATTTGTAATTGAAGTAATTTAACAGATATTTTATTTTCAAAGTTCTTATATTTATGCAATTATATATATATTTTTTAATTTTTTTAAAAAAATTGATTGTATAGGTATTAGAAAAAAAAAAGATTATTGAAATAGGTAAGGTAATTAAATCTATGTACTTATTTAATTATTTAAAAATCAGCAGACCTAAAAACTGTTTTCAATAAAATTTATTTATTTAGTTTATTTATATAATAGAAATGATAATAATTATTATGTAATAGATAATTTGTTAGATTTTTTTTAATTTATAATTATAAATAAAAAATTTTAATTTTAAATTAATTTTTTATATTAAGTATAAAAAACTTAAATAATTTTACAAGTTAAATAAGCTTTTGTTAGATTTTTTATAAGTTAAATGATTTAAATACAAGTTAAATGAATTTTTGTTAAAAATTAAATTTATATTTTTCATAATAAATTTATATTTTAATATTTTTAAAAAAAATTATTAAAAATTATAGTTTAAATAATTTTATAAGTTAAATGACTTACTTTGTAAAGATTACAAACTTTAAAGAAAATGAATTTATAATTTAAATGTAGAAGCGAATTATAACGTTAGAGTTTACATTTCTTACACAATAAATTGAATTGCCCAATAGGGCTACGGGAATGTCTTTTCTATGTGGTTTATAAAAGACAAACGGTAATTAAAGAAAAACGAATAAATAAGTATTCTATGATAACTTTTATTAGCAATTGAAGGGAGTCCAGGATGTGAACTACTCACAACCCTCTTGCTGATCGGTATATGGATCTTTGTATTCTAAATTTGATATAGTTAATGAAAAGATGAGTTACATTAATCCAGTAAGAATATTATACTAACCATTGATATGGAAAACCGAAAGTTAATAAAATTAGAAAACAACTAATAGAGAATTTATTTTAAGTAAATACATTTAATTTTAAAATTTCTTATTCGATACTTACCGTTATGATTTTTTCCAAAATCAACTTATGAAGACAATTAAGCAAATGACATTTTAATTTCATGCATAGGATCAACAATCCTTCTTTTTTAACCTACTTAATGAGACTCCTGGGGATCTATAGGGATATCTCTCTACTCGTAGACTCAGTATCAAGATTAACAATTAACCTGGTTGTTTCCATACCCCGTCCGGTAATTGACGCCAAAAATACCATCGCTTCGATACGTCATCCGGTATGAGGGTGAACCGTATTTCCCAAAACCCTTCCAGTATGGGATTTCTCAGTCTCGTCCGATTGAGATAATGTCTAAAGTAGGGTTCCCTATGTATCGAGTCCGTCCACTTTTTTCTAGGATGCCCAGTAAGCTTTCATTTATTTAAACTCTTATAATTCAAACAACTACTAAAGTATACCAATGTTTCATTACATATTCACAGATTAATTCAAGTAACACTTAAACAAACGATATAGTTTAACATAGTCAAATAACTAATAACTAGAATACCGAATAAATAATGCAAAAAGAACCAAATACCGAGAAGACTATAAAAACCATCAATATAATTACACACAGTACAATAGTAAGCAAATATAGACAGTATAAGAAAATAAATAGGGAATCAAGAAAAATGTGAAATAACTGGTTATGGCTCCGCTAGTGACCTAAAATATTTTTAGAATTTTTTTTAATTTTTTATAAAATACATAATTATCAATTATTGATCCTCAATTTACCGTAATCGAGAATATGGTGAAGGATCCTTACCCGGATCGATATTTCAAAATATTGTGCTATCTATTACGTCTCTTAATAGATCCCGAATTTTCTGAATTTATCTTGTAAGAATTCAAAATATTCGTCACGTACTTAAAAATACCCAAAAAATCTAAAATCGGTGTTGAAAATCTTTTCCGGTTCATTTTAGGATTCCGGCACAGCGGCACCGCTGTGTTCTGGTGCCGACTCCACTGCCCACAGCGGTGGTTCACCTTGCTTAATCAGTTTTAGCTAGTTTTGCATGTATCCCTGTGAAAAAACGCGTTGAAGGATCTTGGTTAGTTAGAAATCACAAGATAATTGAACCTACTGGCGGAGGGGTCTCCGGGTGCGATGGCTCTGCCGGTTTTCTTTTGCGGCTGGAGTTTCTTCTTCGGTTAACTTGCACAGAAAAAGACGGTGAACACAATAGTCGAAAATTTTTATAAAGGGAAGCGAGAAGAGGCTCATCAGAGGGGTTTTAAGGTTTCGGCCGTGGCTGCTCCGCCGGACTTTACCCACAATTTCATGCTCACCCAACGTTCCTTTTGCTCTGATATGACCACGAAAAGACTCAGAATCGAATTCTAAATAGGTATGAGAGAATTCTATCTTTTCTGACACTCGACGATGGCTCTGATGCGACAGCAGCAGCGGCTGGGGGTCGCTCTCCTTCTCCAACGGCTAGTCCTTCTTCTCCGACGAGGGCAGAGCGGCTAGGGTTAAGGTTCTCCTGCGACGCAATATTTATATACTCATCCTGTGTCGATCTGGGTTGTCCATTCACATCGATGTGGAGCGAAGAGAGTCATCCGATCGTTGCTTGTTTAGGCCGATTGCATGGGTGAATCTAGACCGTTTCGTGATTGATTTCATCCATCCGATCACACCTAAGGAGAGAATGCATCTGAGTTGTTCACGCACGCGGGATTGAATTTGGACCGTCAAATCGTTGGGCACGCGGATCGTCCGCGTGACACCGACATCAGCATGTTTTGTCATGCGACATACTCTGGTTCGTCAGGGTTGCCGACTGGACTGTCCCACGTGACCAATTTTTTTTTTTTTTTGTATTTTAATCCTCTATTTTTAATTTTTCTTTTAAAAACACATTCTGAACTCAAATTTTCACTCATATTCTCCAAAATTGCTTTCAATTATATTCATAACGTATTTTTTTCAAATAATTTAATAAGATTAAATTAAAATAATATTTTTAATTATTTAATACAAAAATTGATCTTAGACTAAATTTTGACCCGAGTATTACATAATTAAAAATTAAATAAATTTTTGTTAGATTTTTTACGAGTTAAATGACTTAAATACAAATTAAATGAGTTTTTGTTAAAAATTAAATTTGTATTTTTTATGGCAAGTTTATTTTCTAATATTTTAAGAATTAAGTTAAATGAGTTTTTGTTAAAAATTAAATTTTTATTCTTCATAATAAATTTATTTTTTGAATATTTGTTTTAAAAAATTCATTAAGAATTACAGTTTAAATAATTTTATAATTTAAATAATTTAATTATAAATTAAATAAATTGATTTAATGTACGTAATTATTTAATTATTTAAATATTAATAAAAATGAAATTATTTTAAATAAAATTTATTTATTTAGTTTATTTATGATATAAAAATGATAATACTAAATTTATGCAATTGATAATTTGTTTAAAAAAAATTTCAGTTTATAATCATGAATAAAAAAAAAATTATTAAAAATTACTGTTTAATAATTTTATAAGTTAAATGAGTTTTTTTTTAATATATTTTTATTTAATATTATATACAATAAAACATGAATATATTAATAATTTGACTGAATATATTATCATATCATGCTATTAATCTAAACAAAATAGATTCTATTACCATATATTAAATATACAATCTTTCTAAACATAGTATAATTTAATAATTACCATTTCTCGTAATTACTAAACTTTAATTATCCATAAAAAAAAAATCAACCAAACACTGTATAAGTGACAACAAGGATTTCACTACCCCGCGGTTATTATATTATTTGAAGAAGTACATTATTTTCTTGATTTTCTTAGTATTTTTCCCATTGTTTTACTATGTTATTTTATTAATAATACATGACGGAAAGCTAAATAATAAACTCAAGCTTATTATGCTCATGGATAGTTTTTCTTTTGCTATCAACAAAATGAAGAGACGGAAAGATGAAAGAAAAAGTACTAAAATTTCCCATGTAAATTTCACCCTAGCATCAAGTACAGGGGGGCAATCCAATTAATTTCCAAGAATCTTAACCCATTGCAAAAAGTATGGAAATCAAAATGAAAGAACATCTGTTGCCAACATAATTAAAAGACCAGAAATAAGTTTATGCTGCGGTAGATGGCCTTGAAGCAGCAGATAGCCTAGACCTTTTCTTAGCTAAGCTTTCACTCCGCCGTTCCCTCTGTTCCTTCAATCTTGCGGCGAGGAGCTTCTGGTACTCCGCACCCTCTGCTTTCGCCTTGCTAATTCTCTTCTTTTTCTCTGCAATCCTTGACCGCTTCCTTTGCAAAGTCAAAGGAGTTACCAGTCTCTGGATCTTAGGAGCTTTACTAACCTTCTTGCCTGAAAGATACAAATGCCAGCAAGGTTAGTGCAGAAACAGAAGGTTGTGAAACTTCAGTAAAACAGCTCTCATGATTCTAGAATCTCAGTAAAGTATTAAGTCAGAGTGGCATTTACTATAGTGGCTTTGCTAATCAGTTGGAATAATAAGGTCCATATCCTGCCTAGATCCGTCTATTATACCAAGAATATCTATACATTCAGTTGCCTATAAATGACCAAGTAATTGAACAGTTGGTAAACAGCTTACCAGATTTGGTTGTGAATGTTCGACGATAGGTATTGACGTACTTTCGAACGTCATCCTCCTTGGAGAGATTGAAGAGTTTACGGATTTTGGAAGCCCTCTTAGGACCCCTCATTCTTGGTTTTTCTGTGTCAGTCAGTCCAGGAAGATCGTTCTCACCCTTCTTCACAATTACCAAGTTCAGGACAGAAAGGTCTGGGCTGACAATGCACCCACGAACAGACTTCCTCCTGCGCTCTCCATTGCGCCTTCCATATCCACGGAAGCAAGGAGTTCCTGGCGCAGTAAAATTAAATGATCCTCAATCATTTTACTCAAGGCAAGACTCTAACATAATGTATTTCCCAATTTAAACAATCAATCCCAGCAGCTCAAGAAAACTCGAACCAGTTTTAGCTAAATTCAATGAAACAAGTCAAAAAATGGGTTAAGTTGTCTAACCTCTATGGAGAAGAAGGCGCACCCGACCGGGAGTTAACACTCCCTGTTTCATTGGAAACCCTTGTTTGTCACAACCTCCCATGATCTTGAATACATAACCCTTAAATTCCTATAATGCAAGCAAAACTGTTAAGGCAAGCATGAATTAGTAAAGAGTTTGACACAGATGCAATATAAAGTGAATACCTCTCCAAGAGCATCTCCGCTGACCTCCTGTGATATCCTCTTGTCAAAAAATGCACGGCTACATGGTTAAAAGAGAGAAGTAAATAACAAAAAAAAAAACACTTTGATACAAGGATTAAACTTTCCGGACATTAGAAATAATTTTAGTGTTACAAAAGTAAATCATGTTTGTCAAATTGATTCAGCATCACTTGTTCAGTATATTTCAATTTGAGAGAGATATTCCGTAACATATCTATTGACCAGCGGCAAAAAGAAAAATCCAACGGAGAGATGGCTGAGCTTACAGCTTCTGGTCATCGTCAATTTCAAGCTTTTTCTGACATCCCGTAGTAGGATTCGCGATATTGAACTGCCAAAAAAAGAAAAAAGCATAGAGTCAGTAAAACAGATTGATAATGGAATCCTCAACGTGGAAATTGAACCAAACGGCAGCGTATTACGGGAAGAGAACCTTCATCTTGGGCGGAGATCTGCGTGAGAGGGTTGAAGCAGATGCCGCTTAACCTAAACTGAGACTCTGAGCGAGGAGGAGGGTATGACCGTGAGAAAACTGCCTTGCTATATGTCTAGGGTTTTGCGGGTCGTTAGCTGCGGTTGGAAATAATTATATTGTGTTTGCTAAAACAGCGGATGCTTGCTGTGCATCGACTTCATCCACCGTACACGTAGACTGATGATCATGTGCGATAGACAAGAAAACAGATAAATTACAGTTTATCCCAAGTAAGATTTACCCACTGTAACTTAATCCAGTTTTTATAGTTTTCTTTTTAATTGATTCCCATGTTATTTTATTTTACTAATTTACTTTCAATTATTTGCTCTTTTTCTTTTATTTTAGCATCTTATAATTTTAGAAAAATAAAATTTTAATATATTATGGTTTTAATAAATTACAGTCAATTATTAGTTTTATTTATATGATCTTTTTATAAAATGTATAAGTAAAAATTCAAAATTAAATAAGAAAATCTGAATTATCAAAATAAAACAAAAAATCACTAATGTTATTAATAACCTAATTACCCTAACAATTTTATTTTAACATTAATTTTACCAGTAATTTCTATCAATTGTCATTATTAAAAAATATATATAAAAAATATATATATAGATATTTTTTACTATTATGAATCATTTAGAAATTGAAAATGTTAATTCAATAATAAGCAGAAACAGTTACAAATTTAAGTTTCAAATATCACCTAACACAAAATTAATATATATCATATTAAAAAAATCAATCAAGATACAGAAAAATCAATATGTACATAATAATTTACAGTCTCACAAGGAGCAAACAAAATCACCACTAGTGTCAAGATCTTCAATATCTGCATCCAACTCATCAAGATCCATGCTGCCTTGAGTGGAATTTCCCCTACCATTTGCAACTTCAATACTTACCAGCCTAGCCTCTTGGATTATATTCAATACTTCTTCCATGCTCTGTGATGGATTATGAACATTATTTTTCTCCCACCTTCCTCCTTCTGCAACTTCTATTGGCAAGTTCTTCAAGAACCATTGATGGTTTTTTATTTCTGGTATGCTTATTCTCTGCAATTTCACCAACAAAAACACCACATAAACTTGCCTGCCCGAGTATCTGACATCAAAGAATAGCAACGTAGACAAGAGCCGAACTACCTTTTCAGGATTTGCCACGAAAATCTGAGACAAAAGATGCTTGCACTCCCTGGAAACTCGAACATAATCCGGAATTGTGTAGTGAACACTGAGTATCCTCTGCTAAAACAAATAACAATTCAAAACTAAAGATCCAGAAATTCAATAACAATTACTTAATCCTGTTGAGGAATGGAGTGTCCGAGAGAAAAAAAACAAAACTAACCCCGATAGTCTTTCTGAAGTTTTTCGGATCATCAGGATCTTCGAAGGGATATGCACCAACAAGCATTACATACAAGGTTACCCCACAAGACCACACATCTGCAATCTATATTTCTCAAGAGTTAAATACAGAAGATAGTTCAAATCCAACCATAACAAGAAACAAAAGGTTTAATGGAAGTGATGAAGCAATGGCCAAAGCTTGATATATTACCTTCCCATCATACTCCTTTTTGGATAGGATCTCAGGTGCTATATAAGCCGGTGTGCCTACAGTAGATTTTGGTTGGGAATGCAATACAGATGACTACAAGATGAGAAGATAATGATTAGTGAACAAACCTTAATCATACTCAATTCAATTCCTTGCTATAAAATCCTATACCACAAGCAATTTAAGTTACCTTTGAATATCCAAAATCGCAGATTTTGACTCGTGGGGCGGTGCTATCATCCAGCAGCGTATTTTCTAGCTTAAGATCTCTATGGCAGATTTGCTGCAATGGATAATAAGCTTGTTAAATTGGATAACAATGACTTGAAGAGGAAAAAAGAAAATAAAAGATGAAAAGAAAGTTCAGACCATTGAATGACAGTAACTGACTCCTGATATGAGTTGCTGAAAGAAAAACCTTGCCTGTTGCAAATAAACAGAAAATTAGGGGTTAAAACAATCCCCAGTGAATTCTACAACATAAATTAGTGAGTATGGTAATTGATGTTCATCTTTTTACCTCGTCTTCACTAAATCTACCGGCATTGCATATCCTCTCAAAGAGTTCTCCTCCTGCAGCATACTCCATGACTATGGCTAAGTGTGTTGGAGTTAGTAGGACCTGCAAGGATTAGAGTTGCGAATCACTTAATATTTTAAATGTTTAGATTTCGTTTCGAACATTTTCTATTCGATTCAAAGTACACAATGAAACATCTCCTCTGATAAATTCAAGCTGGGAGTAGAGATTACTGACATAAGAAATTTCTTCAACTGGAATTCTTAAGTAGAAGTCCTTAAATTTAATTATGAATAAAGAAACAGAGAAATCCACTCAACAAAGAAGTCCTTCCACAAGTTTAAGTTTCGTAAGTTTCTAACATATAAAAACCATTTTTTAACATTCTAGTTGATTCTCTATTACCAAAAAGAAAGGAAAAAGAAAAGAGCGTAATAAAAGAGTCAAAATCCCAATGATTATCTCTTTGAACAAATAAAGCTTTAGCCTCCTACTCTGAATCAACCTTACACATAGGAAAGAAAATCAACTTTTGAAGAACACAGAACAAACCTCTTTGAATTGAACAATATTGGGATGCTTTAGAGATCTATGGTTCATGATTTCCCTCTGCACATGCTCATCAATCTGCAAGAACATAAAACCCATCAAGCTTCAAGCACCCATTAGAACAGAAACAAAAACCCAAATTTTTTTCTTTAAAAAAAAGGAGGACCCAGTTGGATTCCATATTTGCAACATGAAAAAGATTAACAGAAAACCAAGCAGGAGATAAAACAAACAAACCTTTTGGCCTCTCTCGATGAACTTAATAGCAAAGAGATCCCCTTTCCACTTATCTCTCGCCAGCTTGGCCACCCCAAAATTCCCTGCTCCAATATCCTTCACAATCTCATACCGCTCCATAGTTTCCCAAAGCATCAATAGAACACCAAAAAATCTAACCTCGAACCTTGTATATTTCCAGTACAAGCTTCACACCTCCGTCTTCCAGCAAGTAAATTTCCTCTCTTTCCCAAATATCAACAAGCTTGAAAAGTAGAATTTCCAAAAGGATCAGACTTGTTTGACTTGGTGATGAACTGGCTATGGCTTGAAAATTACTACGAGTGTGAAACCATCCACAGGCCTTAAATTGGTGAAACGACAGTTTTTGACCCGCAGTTACTGAAAATGAGAGCAACAAAACGTTTGGCACGTGGAAAGAAAAGGGTTTTGGAAATTTCAGGCGGTGACGAAAATATTTTGTTGATGGCGTTGAAGAAGCTGAAAAATTCTTCTTCCCGAGAAGGCACAAAAAAGCTTAGTCCACGTATTTGGGCGGTGAGATTCACGACAAAAGTTAAGATTGTTTCGGATTACCTGCTCGTTTCAGGCCCACGTTTTGGCTGCTAAATTCAGCTTTTTAAAAATTTGTCCGTCACTTCAAGCGCCGGAAAAAAATAGAAATTGTCTATTATGACTCTTGCGAGTTTTAAAGATTCTTTGTTTGGATTAAATGATATTTGCTTACAAGATTTTAAATGGGCATATGAAACGTGTAAGATAAGGAAACGAACAGAGTGCCCTTTTGCATAAAGTCCACGTTGAAGCAGGAAGAGGAGATTGTCCCGTTTCACTCATGATATTAAATGAGTTTTCAAATCGACAGAGAGGATAGAGATGTGCTAGCCAACCAATCATGACATCAGATATTCACGTCGTATGTATATGTATATATATGACTTACATATATATATTCAATTGTTTATCAAGCTTCTCCTCGTAGCGTCTGGTAATCGTATGTTTTTTGTCTGCTTATACCAAAACGTTAGGAAATCACCGTAAGATGACCATAAAAAAAAAACTGGTCATCTCTGTTTTTTTGTGTTCATGAAATTAGTCACTTTTAAAGTTAAAACATCATTTTTATGTTCATGAAATTAGTCTCCTCTAAAGTTAGAACATCTATGACGCTTTTAGAAAACAAGAAGCTTTTTACACATATATATATATGTATAATTTATATTTACCCCCAGATTTTGTTATGTTAGGTAACAGTGTCCGTCCCATATATATATATATATATATATTAACTTTCATTGACCAACTGACATGGAAATAAACATATTCCATGGTATATCATATAGGGATACATCAAGGGCCCATAGAGGTTGAAAAGTTCCTAATTTCTAATATATATACATATACACTATACTTCGGCATTTTAGCCGGATTAGTTCGACTGGTCAGAACTATTTCCTTGTTCAATATCAACTGAATTACAAAGATCTTCTTTAGTGTTCACGGGAGGGCCAAGGTAAGGTGATCCACTCACAACGAAATCATCTGGCATGTCTATTTCCTCAAGCATGGCATAACCTGCAAAAATTATTTATCCCACACCTACTAGATTAAACACAGTAATCGACTCTTGGCACTATATTTCATCAAAAAATAATAATTAAAAGGCTAATACATATATATATATATATGTTCTTGGATTAGTGCTTGCCGGGAAGGGAAGGAATCTGGAGATCTGAGAAGTAGGTGGAAGGCCTAGTAAGGTCTTGAGAATATGGTGGAGACAACACGTCTAATACGGCGCAAGGAGTTATGGCTGTGAAAGAGTGGATGTTTCCACCACTTCTTGCAAACAGAATTGACGCCTCACACGGTGCGTTTTGTATTCCATTCATCACCCTGCATCCAACTCCCCCTACACCAATATACTTAATTATCATTTATAACAACATGCATTCGAGAATTTTAAGAACAACATAAAACGATGCATTTTTACCGAAGTTGATCCTTACTTGTTCTGTGACCAGAATGATCCACCTTCACCCAGTCGTAAGCTTTAACGTACATGGAACCGTACAGGAGCTTGCTTAACACTGTCATTCCTGGGTGATCATGAAGAGGAAACACCCCTCCTGCTGGGAAGCAAAATATACCTATCTGCACCACAAAAACGACATCGTACGTGTATATATCCATGCATATTTTCATTATATACGCATGCTTTTAGTAAAGGACAAATTGATTAAGAGACTTACAGAGAAGTAGTTACATTCATGGACATGAATGTAAGTTATTTCAGACACTCCTTGGCCGCAGAACAATCCATTCACTAATCTGGGGCTTGAAGCTGGAAATCCATGCAAGCTACAGAATTCGTCGATCCCCACGTCGACAGCTTCAAATAAGTCTGCATGCATTTTATAATCAGTATATATTGCTACGTCCAAGTTAAAACATATGTATATTTATATATACCCAATATGCTTTTGAGCCATTGAATTTGTTGGAAAGTTGGCAGCCGATCGTCGCGAGAGAAAACGGAGCGGCAGGCATCGTATAGCAATTGTATTTTGGTTTTCTTCTCCATTATTGTTGTGCAGAACTCCATAGCTGATCTAATCTTTCTTTCTGTGAGCAGAAATATTTAAGAAATACTCGTGGGTAATTCGCTATTAATATGATGGAGAAACTGCAGAAAACAGGATCCCTGGAACTAAAACCCGGGGGCTTATCTTGACTTGACCTTTTTATCTTACAATGGGCATAAACGGGTTGTGGATATATATATATATATATATATATATAAGATATTATAAGGGGAGATGGACAGTATCTGAGCTTTCCATTTTTAACCTAATTAACCATTGGCTAATTAGAGGTTAAGTGCAGATGGCGTAAATGTGATTTAGTATGCTCTAACTACACTTACTTCTATATATATATATATATATAGAGAAGCTAATTACGAGGCAATAGATTAAGTCAATATTATATAGTGAGCATTTTAAATGTCTCAATATATATATATATATATGTAGAGTAGCTAATTACGAGGCAATAGATTAAGTCAATATTATATAGTGAGCATTTTAAATGTCTCAAAGTGCCAAACCCATATTATAGCTTGTTTTGAAGACGCACATTTTATGATACGGTACTGGAAAACAATATCATATTTCTATGGGGTGATGCCATATATGACCTAATATATACTTGATGATCATCAAACTAAACGTGGTGTTCATTAAAAATAAATAAACAATAATTCTATAATTTTTTATAATAAATATTAATACGTTATCGAACTAGTTCTTCGAATAAGAAGACCAATTACCATTAATGCTGAAATCAAAAGGTTTATGAAAATATATATATATATGATCTCACTTAAAAATATATCAAAATAATAAAAATTTATTGAAATAATTACAATAAGTTAAAAAAATTAATTTAATATATTTTACAATAAATCTTAATTTAAAAACTAAATATAGTGCCATATGGATCATTGGTCGAGCTCCGCTAGTATAGCCCAGTACAAGGAGAAGCCGGGTCAGCCTATGTTTGGCATGGTTTCAAAGACGGCCACAATTCGAGGACCATGCCCGTAAAAATCAAACTCAACTTCCTTTCTTTTTTTTTTTTTTTTTACTTCTAATAATTACAATATAGAATTTTTATTTGTCATTTTGTAGTACACGATATTAATTTTGCATATGAATGTAGTTAAAATTAATGTCTTTAATATGAAGGAGAATTTAAATAACTGCTAAAACAAAATTTGTTGATTAATTTTTAGTTATTTTCAATTAAATCACATTATTGATGTTATTTCCTTATTACAGTGAACAATTACGTATGAAAATTATGCAATTAAATTATCCACGCACCTCTAGATCCTTTGTAATAAGCGAAATAAGTAATCCTAGTACTAGAATACCAGAAGACTTCATTAATGGGAAAGATAGTGCATACCCAAATTGGGTAAGATGACTCAGAATAAATCTTCTTCAATGGGTTGGCGACCTCATCCGGAGGATTTATACACAGATGACTTTGTTCCAAGTAATCCTAATGATGCAAAGTCGTGAGATTTATGGGTAAAATAGACAATAATAATATGGTTTATGAATTCAATACAACCACAAATTTTATGTTGTTTAATTATTATAAATTGAATAAGATATAATTAAATTACTTAAATTTCTATTCAGCTTAATTGTAAAATTTTGATCATAATTTTTTGTTTTGGGTTTTAAAAAGAATCTACGAGCCCAAACCCATTTATATATTTTCCACCAAACCAGAAAATTCAAACCACAACGAACCAAGAAAAGCACTACCTTTTTATCGGTTCAAAATCAAAACCCCCGTGTCTGCCAGCTTGTCTTTTTTTCAGTCCTTTTACCTCCCCACATTAATCCAACGGCTCAAATCGCATCTTCCGTTTCTCTCCCTTCCCCTCTTAACGCAATCATCGCTCCACTCTCTACCCCCGCCCCCCCTCCCCCCCCCCCCTTCCCTCCCTCCCTCCCTCTAATTAAAACGCATAACCCGAGCACCCCTCTCCCTCTCCTTCCTCTCTTCTCAGATCTAACTCTTCATTCCCTTTTCTCTCCAATCTCACTCCACCAATGGCGGCCTCATCACCTCGCGAAGAGAATGTTTACATGGCCAAGCTGGCCGAGCAGGCCGAGCGTTATGAGGAGATGGTCGAGTTCATGGAGAAAGTCTCCGCCGCCGTCGAAAACGAAGAGCTCACCGTCGAGGAGAGGAATCTCCTCTCCGTCGCTTACAAGAATGTGATCGGCGCCAGGCGGGCCTCCTGGCGTATCATCTCTTCAATCGAGCAGAAAGAGGAGAGCCGCGGCAACGAGGACCATGTGTCCATGATCCGCGACTACAGGGCCAAGATCGAGTCTGAGCTTTCCTCTATCTGCGAAGGGATCCTCAAGCTCCTCGATACCAGGCTTATCCCATCCGCCTCCACCGGGGACTCCAAGGTCTTCTACCTCAAGATGAAGGGGGATTACCACAGATACTTGGCCGAGTTCAAGACCGGAGCCGAGAGGAAGGAGGCCGCGGAGAGTACTCTCACAGCTTACAAATCTGCTCAGGTTTTTTTTTTTCCTCTTTCGTTTCTTAACTTTTTTCCTAAGAAAACTAATACTCGAGTCCGGATCTGTTTTAGATTTCGATTTTATCTTCGTGTTTTTATGTGGATTTGGTTGCCGATCATTCGTGTCCTTTGATTGAGGGTTTAAATTTCTTTTGCTTTAATTTTTGAAATTTCGACGGTAAATGTTATATATTTATCTTATTGTTTGACTTTTCCTGGGAAATTTAATGGATCTCTTTTCTATTGTAATTATTGGTTAATTATTTCCTGTGGATGCATGTTGATAGAGCCTTTTGTGTTAAACCGAAACAGTTTAGATGCTGTTTTTTTTCTGATTTTTCTGTTCTTTTCTCTCGGCTATATCGCGTAATTGATCATTTCCTTGTGATTTTCAATGTTTGTAGGATATTGCAAATGCAGAGCTGGCACCAACTCATCCGATCCGTCTTGGCCTGGCTCTGAACTTTTCTGTGTTTTACTATGAGATCCTCAATTCTCCTGATCGCGCCTGCAATCTCGCCAAACAGGTGATGGAATCTGATGCAGCATATAATTTGAGTTTTGTAATCTTTTAGGATTTCGCCTGTTAGGTAAAAAGAAAGGCCATAAATTTTAACTTGTTGAAGCACTTTTTATTGATTAATTTTCTGCCTTATATAATGTTTTTTCTTTCCTCCTTATGGAACGCAGTAATATGGAATTCTTGCCAATACCTTGCTTTTCGGGTTGGTTTTAATTTCCACTCTGAGAAATTCGAAGTAAAATTGGGATTACCTGAACTTAAGAAAAATTAAAGTCGTGTTTACTTCATTTTCCCTCATATTTGGTTACTGCCTGTGTAGAATGTGAAAATACTAACTGCTTATATGATTGCTTTATTGTTGCGTTGGTTTCATCAGGCATTTGATGAAGCTATTGCGGAATTGGATACTCTCGGCGAGGAATCATACAAGGACAGCACTTTGATCATGCAGCTTCTGCGGGATAATCTCACTCTGTGGACATCTGACATGCAGGTATTGAATGCGACCCATCATTATGCATCCATTTTTGATAAAATTCATCATAAGGATATGATTGACTTTGATATGAAATACGTGTTGTTGGATCAGGATGATGGAGCAGATGAGATTAAGGAAGCAGCAGCCAAGCCCGGTGAAGATCAGCAGTGAAGTTATCCGACTGCTAAATTAGGATCGAGCTTCTCTATATGTTTTTGATTGGAGAGGGTGTTTGTTGCTAATTTCCTTGTTGCCCAAAAGTTTTTAGGCATTCTTGTCTTGGTTAAATGAATCATGGATGTACTGGGTTTTTATTTTCTTTTCTTTTATTTTTCATTTTGCCGTTGCGTTTAGCTTGTGGTATTAATTCTTATGTGGTATTTTCATTAAGATATTGAAGCTTTAATTCTGTTGTTGGCATCAGAATGTTATGCTCAGCCATCATTAATTTGGGTATTTGTATCTCACCTGAATGAAGCCAATCCCCAAATAAACCTCTGGTTTAAAATATACATCATTGACTCTTTCTCTTGTTTTATTTCTTTTTTTAAGATTTGTAGTTTCGTTCAGTAGTTGCTCGTCAGTGCGGTTGGGTTCTTGATGGCATGCCTGTATCAATAAACTCTCACTTATGTGATAATGTTTTAAATTCAAGGTTGCGGGCGGCAAACCCTGCCAGTGATATTATTCACTAATGTTTTAAATTCATGTTTCCTCCAGAAATGTGATATATTATTTTGCGTCGCGTCTTTCGATTATTGTCCGATCTAGCGGTCTAGAAATATGAAAGTAAGAAGATTGGTGCTGGAACTTGTATTTTTAAATTTAGAGACAAACACGTGCAAGATACCAAAGCAAAAACATGGGCAATAGTCCTTGAAGCCATTTGTTTGGCATCTTTAACCACGATTGAGTCAAGGTTACGAGGGTTTGATGCTTTTATTATTATTATTTTTTTTTTCAAGGTGTTGGAATAATTAGGGTTTGAAGTTTAGACTTTTGAGGGTAGGTCCCCCGAGTTAGGTTTGTTTTTCAGCCCTACATGACATTCGATTGCTGCGTCTTGATAGCATTTAATTATGCAAATTGAGCCGCGACCAACAAAATTATATTCATTCAAATCTGTGGACTTAACAATATGTGGGTTTAAAGATAAGCCCTAATTATTATTTTAACTCTTAAGTTCCTGTGCTTCCTGCATGTACGTATACATTTTCTTTGAGACACAAATTTGATCGTCTATCTTGTGCCTAAATAAAATAAGGTGATAGTTTCATTTTACTTTTTGTTGTTTTGTTCTCTCACTTGATAATTTAAAATTTTTTATTGTTCTATTAGTTAGTTACATACGTACGTTAGTTAAGCATTGTTAAATTTTCTGAAAGAATTTATTCTCATGTAAGTATAGTTTTTTTAATGAAATTTATTTTCCTGTTAGAAAAGAATTAATCTAAGAATCCGAATTTTAGGTACAGTCGCTTGATATTAAAATGGACTTGTCAAGTTTGAATGGATTTCAAGGATAAGAGTTAAATGAAATCGAAATGGGATATTAAAGAGTTGAAGTCTAGCATTCAAAAACATTTTGAGTCAACTCATTAGAGGAAATAGTTCTGTAATACGTTTGGATGTGTTTGAGGAGTTGGTTTTCAATTAACTATAAATTATTTATTATATAATTAATTGTTAAAATTATAACTTGTGTAACATGGAACAAAGATGTTGGTTTATTTATTTGAGTACTTAAAAAAATAATGACTTGAATTTTCTAAGATATTACCACACAAACTTTAAATGAAGAAAATTTATTAAGTCACCGATTTTGTTTGTCGAATTCGGTGTCAACTGGTTATTTATTTTTATTTAATTATTGGAAAATAGAATAAGATTTAAGGTAACTTTCATGCTAATTGAAGCAAATTGGAAGATTGCCAATAAAATTAAAGAAAAAATAAGTCTGATAGACAAACACCTCATGCTTACTCATATATGACGACATCGTAGTCACAATCAAAATAAACTGGACAAATATTTTAGGGTTGCAATTTACTGCTGCTCCTCAAATTATTAGCGGCAATCACAACATTCTAGCTGCAAAATTAATTAATTTTAACTTTATTTTTATTTTCTTTCATGTTAGAAAGTCAATTTCAACTTCTAAAAATTATTATGCATGTAGTAGTAGTAAAATACACCACAGATTTCTAATGTAAAGTTTCGAACAATTAATCTTTTAAAGTTCGGTATTGTTTTTTTACTATTAAAAAAAATGTTCCCCATTTTATCATATAGTAGTTATCAAAATTTTCCTTTTCAACTATCGTCTGTAAGAATTGAATTCAAACGAGCAAGAGTAAAAAGTCGATTCAAATAAGTAGGAGTAACGTAAAACTTTTCTACTAAAGTTGACCCTTTTCGGTAATAAATAGTAAAGTTTACAATATTTGATACCAAACCAAGTCACCACCATTCACCATTTTTAACCTAATCTCCCTCGATACAACTATGAGGAAGATCAGTAGTGTCTTCAACCAACAACCTTAAAAATCTTCTGGCAATTAAACACTCGTACTCATCAGTGCCTGACTAGTGGCTTTGTAGAGTCAATTTCTACAAAGAGAAATCCTTAAGCCCCAATAATCTTTTGGTCATAAAGTAGAAGGGAAATGCTTGCAAAAAGAAAAATGACACTAAATGGAAATGCCATTTCCCATTTTAACCAGCTTAAGCATGTAATTTTTAAGTGTGAACACCACACATAATCAGCAATATTCAGAGAGGGTCAGATGCAGTTGTACAGAAAACTCAAATCGCTAATTCAGATGGACTGATGCTTAATCATATATGCAGATCAAGTCAGTTATCAACCACTTTTTTCCATCAGAATCAACAAATCATCAATATTTCTGGCAATTGCCTTAGGATAAGTAGATTCTCAAGAGAAAGATAGATTCTTCTTACTTTCAAGAGCAACTAATGCCAAAAGTTAGCATACCTTTATGTACCAAAACAACAGTTAAGGTTTTAAAACTTGTCTCGGGCTAATCCAAATTGATAGTTTCTTTCTAAATTTGTATCATCTGCTATTTTTTAGCCAGTAACCACAAATATCCTGTCAAAAAGTTGTATTTTATAAAGAAATGTTTTCTTCACTCTGCTGTTACTCACACATTAGAAGTTGAAGCTGAACTAAACACAAAGGCATAAACCTAGATATTTGCCAAGATCATTATGTACAGTTTGACAAAAATGAACAAGACTTGCAAGAATCTCTACCCTCATCACTCTTCACTCTAAAACAAAGGCTAGCAAGATTTTTCAACAACATTATACGAATTCTGAAAGATGAGATGACTTGAAGGAAACTGAAAAACTTTATCCATCCCAAAGAAACGAGTTCAAGGTAACAGCCACTAATTTCAAATGCACAAAATACTCTAGCTACCAAAAAGAGAATCAATTAGATTTACTTCATACAAGAAATAGAGCTTAGAAAATCCAAAAGCAAGTAAAGATTATTGTTTATAACTGGCAAAATGTATATATAATGAATGGCACAGACATATATTTATATAAAAAAGAACATGAGTTCACAGACCCTTGTTTTGGCACAGTTAATAGAATAACTGAGAACAACTACACCAACAACAACGAAAGCAAAAACATTCCCTGTAGTAATCTAAGAACCCAAAAATCTTTCTTCTCCTCCAATGTTCAAACTATTCAAAAGGAAAAGGGAATAATCCGCTTCTTTACATGTCCATTAAAATACCACGACTCTAACTAACAGGACGAGACCATTTTCATGGCGTTCTTTCTTTGTTCTTTTTCTTTATCATCTAAAACTGGAAATTAAATAAGAACCCCAAACCTATCCATGTACAGAATAAATTCTAAGCCTTTTTTACCAGAAGAAGAGACTTATCTAAAAAGAGAAATGAACTCAAAGGCCTCTCCATCTGGGGCTCGGCACCGGCAAGGTTGGGGAAAGCGGGAATCCCAGCTGACCAGAAGATGGCGACAACAGCAGGCTTGGGGAAAGTAAAGTGTACGGCGACCTCGGGGAATTCAGGCACCCGAATGGCAACGGTGAGGGAGGCAGTTGGAACTGCGGCTGCAACGGCAACATTCCCGATGATGTTGAAGGTGGCATCGGTTGCGGCGCAATTGTATTTTGATGCTGCTGCGGTTGTTGCGGCGGAGCCGAACTGTTCCAGCGGGGGGAAACCAGAGGAGCTAGTGGCGAGAATCCCGAGAATTGTTTGGGGTTCGAATCGGTGTTGGAGACCGAGCTCTGGAGATACCGCATGTATGCGGAGACCGGAGATTCCGCCGCCGCGTGTACCGCAGGGAGTGGCGGGAGAGGCGACAGAGGCGCCGGTGGCCGTTGGATGAAACCCGCTGTTGCGTTGGCGGCGCCCATATGAATTGGGAGACTAGGGTTTAGCGCGCCGGGTGCGTGGGACGGTATCACCGGGTTGGCACAGTTTAGCAACTGAGGCGGGCGGTTGCTAACGTGCGCGAGAGGCGGAGGTCGGATCCGCTGCAAGCGAGAGCTCTGCGGTTTCGGTGGGTGAATCGGCGGCGGATTAGAGAACCGCTCATGAGCCGGTGAACCGGTGAGCTTTTGGACCACATCCCTGAAATCGTTCTTATTAATATTATAGACCGGCGGCTGATGCTGCTGCTGCTGCTGCTGCTGCACCTGTAGATTGCTCGGACCCTGATTTTGAGCTGGTGGGAGCGACACAGACGCCGATGCTTGAACTAGTTGCGGTGGTGGTGGAGCTTGATGGTGATGATGAACTTGATGATGGGTATTGATATTGAGATTTTGAGGCTGATCAAACGGAGGTTTCTTAATGATGGTGGTGGTGGATTTGGAGATCTTGTGAGAAAACTTATTCAGTTGTTTCAGGTAATGATCCCTGCTGTTATTGATACTGCTACTGCTGGTAGCTGCGGCGCCGGTGTTGGTGGTGATGGTAGACTCACCAGACGAATGACAGCTTTTATCCATTTACACGGAAAACGATACCCAGTACCCCCTTTCTCTATCTCTAACCTCTGAAATCATCTAATCTACGAAAATCCCCTTCTGCCCAGGTTTCAGATTGTACGGTGGGATTATGTTCTTCCTCTGGCGGACCCGTAAGAAGGGTCGGATCGGGTCGAGGAGAGTAGGACACAGGAAAAAAGAAACGGAATAAAGAAATTATGGAGGCAGAAAAGAACGAATATGTCTATGTCTCTTTGGTCTTTGCTTCACTCTCTCTCTCTGCTTTTAATATTTTCAGCTTAAAAGAAGAGAAAAAGACGGAGACCGTAAAAGAAGCCACGCACCTCTCTCTCTCTCTCTCTCTCTATTTCTCCGTCTCCATCTTCATCTTCCCCAACTCGTTTTGTGTTTATCTGATAAATATGTGTGTATAATGCTGTGTCACTGTATAGGAGTAAAGCGTGGCTCTCTGTTTACGTCACCCCTTCTTATTTACGTCCTCTCTAGCTCTCTCCATGATTGGCCCAGGTTCAAAACGCTCCATCTCCTGTATCTTTTACCAGTCAAACCTCATAAAAAAAAAAAGAAAACTAATTAATTTATTTCTTTTTGTATGGATTATCTACTATATTTCACTCGTATTCAAAAAATGATATGCTGACTTTTGACCCTCTTTCGCTCCGTTGATTTATACGAGATTAAATAATTATTGACTAATCCTACGGCTCCCCTTGATTCTTATACAAGGCAGTTTGTTTTGGTTTCCTCATTAAGAGATTACCTTCTATTTTATTATTCACTTTCCTTTTTTACTTCAAAATTTTGGTGGGTAGAAATGGAAGATGCCTTATTGATATTGACTGGGGGGGGCAACAAAACCAGTATGTGATTAATTAAGGGTTGTTTGTTTCTTTCCCTTTTTTTCTGTCTCTTCAATGATAATCCATCAAGGATTACGTGGCCGTTGGAATTGCCTAATCGGGTCAAGGTGAAATTACTGAATGGTACCAAACAGAACCCTCCAACTTGCAGGGCCCCATTGCCTTTGTACTAGTCTCTTTCGTTTTAGGACTCAGCCCAAGGCTGCAAAAAGGGCTTGGACCATATTCCCATGTCTCCAAATCTTTTCTGCTTTGCTTCAAATCCAATAATAAAATTAACTTTACCAAATAATATATATTGATGTCACTAAAGATTTTACCAAAAGCTAAATTAAGTATTAAACCGCCATAATTTTGTTTACACCAAACATTTCACTTTATAAAAATAAAATAAAATAAAACATTCTTTTCTACAGAGAAATTTCAACTTCGATCAACATGGAATACAAAATATTTTTATACCCAAAAGTTGAAATAAAAAAAATAAACATTAATATAATGTTATATGGTTATATCAGTTAAAAAGAGCTATCATCTACTATTAACTGTAATTCATTATTATATAAAATCAAGTATTGGGTGAAAAATAGGAGTGAGAACAATCTTCTCGCAATTATAGATCAAAACAACATTATTTTTTTTATTTAATATGATTAATCTAAACTAAACTAAACTAATAAGAAGAACTTTATGTAAAATTTTTGAAGTAGATTAATTTTTATCTCTCCCGTGATTATCAATATATTAACATGAGTAAAATTATAATTATCTCATATGAGTTTCATATGACCTACGCTTATCATCTTTATTTCCTTTAAAATTCTAATTAATTAACTTCCAATTCACGTTTATGTTATTTTTATATTAATATTAAATAAAATTAAAAAATATTAAATAAATATTTTAAATAAAAATATATATTACTCGAACTAACAGAATTTTGTTGTCATTTAATTGTTTGAGTTTTAACTTAAAAGATAAAAATTCAAGTTTTAATTATTAATTATAACAAAATAAAGATATATTATATTGTATTTTTTTTTTAAAGAAAAAAAAGGTATTATTCAAAAACCTAGGGTTTCTTTTCTACCCGCTATAGGGTTTATCGTCACTTGTTCCGGCGAGCAATTCATGGGAATCTACGAAGCAATTATGATGAACAGCACTTTGAATACTTGCTTTAAATTCCATACTAGAGTTTATTTTTACAACTTTTTTTAAAATATGATTTGATTTTTTAAGGAAATATATGAATTAAAGAAAGAAGCCACTAAATTCTTCTAGTCCCGAGGCATCATCCAATGAGAAGAATTTAAATTTGAATTTTTGGTTGATAAGAAGCACTAAAACTTCTTTAAGTCCAAGCAACTCCAAAAATGCAAATAGCTGCCTAACGAGGGTGAAAACATGGGTGTATATCAAACTCAAAATTTTAAAGGAAATTGAGTTAAAAGTGGTAATAACAGGTTCAGAATTTGTTATGGGATCAATTTTCGCATTTATAAAAATAATTTAAAATATTAATTTTTATTTTATTTTATTAAATTATTTTTAAAAATAAGTTATATTCGATATTAAAAATAATTTTGAGAAGAGTTGTGATATTTTGAGTTCAGAAGTTGTTTTTGAAAGAAAAATTAGAAATATAGGTCAAAATATATAAAAAAAAAATTGGTCACGTGAGACGGTCCAGTCAGCAGCCACAACGAATCAAAGTATGTCT